CACAAATTGACGTAGTGAGGATTGTAACTTACCAGCTTGTAGAGTCTCTCAATCAGGACGAAGAGACGATCAACGATACTTTAACTTCCATTGATATGAAAAGCAGAAATTCTTCAAGAATGCTGACAAATAAAATCGAAAATGTGATCAATGGGTTTGACGACAACAGTTCTACACGAGCAAATCTTTCTGATGGCGAAATGGCAATCAATGCTCACGAAATTGGAATATTCGAGCAATTAAAACTGCGATTTCAAGATTTTCATTACGACACTGGCATTCCTCGGCTCACCTTTCATTCAAAAACATCACAAACACTATTTCCATCAAGAATGGATTTTGTGCAGAATTCTATACATGAAAGCAATCACCGCTTAGATGGTGACAATGGAAGAGATGAAGTTGGAGACTTGAGAGCTAGAGAAGCAGTTTACGATGCACTCACACACTTTTACTCCTACCCTTTGATTGCAAATTGGTCTATTCAAAGATTTTCGATGAAAAATCTCTCGCGAGTCAATTGCTCGATACAGCAAGTGTGTCTGATACAATCTGGAGTGACGGTATACACACCATCATTAACAAATTTAGCACTCAACCAATTATTTAGTGAGTCTCACATGTCTTCGATAAGCAAACGAGCATTACGTCTTGAAGCTTTGCAGAGTATGATACAAATCGCATTTGAAGCTGAGCGACGAGTTTTAAATCACGGATTGCAAGGTCCCTCTACCGTTTGGTACTCCACCCACGATCTTGACGTCGATGAGTTTGCTGATGCTGTATTAGGTACTCTCAATTTATCCATTAGTGGTGAGACTGAGGCGATTTCTCCATTACATGTGTTTGAAAAGCATATGAATGAACATGTACCGATACTAGATGCTATCGTTTCGTACTATGCTGATACAAACCACGAGACGAAAGTGTTTATGAAGAATCATTACAATATTACAATGGATGTGTTTAACGAAAGCCAAGTTACTCAATTGATCGAGACATTTCAATACGAAGTTCAGCAATTGGAGCAATCACTAGTATCTTATAAACAAGCTCGAGACATCAATGTCTTACATCAAGAGGTTGTTAATGCCACGATACGACATGATTTTTACAATGGAAGCGAGTATACTTTAGTCTCTTTTGGCTTCATCTTACCTGCCACGAATGAGAAGAATGTTTTGTATCGTGATATGAAACTACCAATACCTTTTCATTTAATTCTTCGTTTGATGATACGATTTCAAGAAAGTCATTTACTTCTACCACAAGAATCTCGACAGCTTCTTGTTTGTCTTGCTATGGCATATTATGACATTTCTTTCTATCGTTGTCGTTCTACCACAACTTCTAATGAAGATTGATTCAAGCAATTAGTTTAACGTCGTACTACAATATCTACGATAGAATAAACAACTTTTATTCCAATTTAATTGCTCATAAACTTCTTGTTCTCAGCAAACCCCTCGATAGAAGCCTTACCAAGAGGAGATGTAAGGCAATATTCTTGCAATCTCTTCATCATCGGTGTGTCCAATCTTTTAGGGACTGAACATTTACCAGAGATGTAATTGAAAATATCAATCGTCTCTTCGTTAAGAATATCCTCATACTGCTGCAATTGGTCGCTTGAAAGTTGCATGACATTCTCACTAGCCCAGCGGCCCAATAGTAGATCCACTTCAAGCCATCCACGTTGTTTACTACGATAAATGATACGCTTACGATTAGCTTCGTCCATATCCACGTGATGATCGCCCTGACTAGTCGGCGGGAAATCGCCTTTGGCTGCAATGTGATCGGCACGGATGGCAACGC